GTCCCGGATAAGCGGAGGAAAATGGATGGGTGCTTTTGATATGGTAATATAATAAATAATTAGGTACGGTAAGGTGATGTCAGTCCCTGCTTTTGGTTTAGGTCCTGTCCCATGTTCTTTTCTCATACTGTTCATCCTATTTGGGACCTTTATTTAAGTTGCAATGGAAATGTTTAAGGATGGGTTAGATGGAAGTACTGTATGTGTGGGTTATATTGTAGTAAAGTGTTTTGGCAGGAAAACATTTCTTTAAGACAGCTGTAAATGAGAGCAAAAAAAAGATTTTTGTTTTCTTTGATGAACTGTTCTTTTTGTATTTAACATGTTACAAAAACAAACAAACCAAAAAGGAAACGTCTGCACATTAAATATATAATAAACAAGCTCTTACATGTGTAGGAAGATAGAGGTCAAAAGGTGTTCCAGAGTCGACATCAATGGCATGAAAACCAGACAAGGAGCCATAGATGACCTTCAACCTTTGACCTTCCTCCACTGTCAGGTCAACAGACAGTGGTTTTTGAGGCAGAGACCTGAATGACTGGATAGACATACACACAAAGATACAACAAAAACCAGCATGCACACACACACACACACACACACACACACACACACACACACACACACACACACACACACCGCCAAAACAAGTTAGAGAGGGCCAGAAATATACTGTACCACCCTGTGGAAGTAACAGCCACTTGAAGTCTATCTCGTCAGAGGAGTTAAACTAGACAGTGCAGAAGAAAAAGTAGTTCAGGCCACGAAGGACATAAAAAAAATTGGGACACAGGTCTGCTGAGAATCTCTGCACATGGCTCTTATAGCCTGGATGTGTCATGTCTCTGCGTATGTGCACGAGTCTGGTTGTGGAGGTGACCCCAATGCATTTTTTTCTCCATGTCTGTCGCAATTTGTTCTACATTATATACACTAAATATTACCAACCTTGAACGCCATGAATTTGTGGTAGGGTTTTGGAGCCCAGGCATACACCTCCACAGCATTCTTCAAAGCAATCACTAAGAACTTGATCTTCTCGTAGCGCACTGGAAGAACAGGACAGACAATGAGAAGTCCATGTATGACTCTCAGCTAAATGCAGCTCTGACAAACCTCTACAAAAACGTTTGATTGATCAATTGAAAAACAACACGTGGTTTGTATTTTTTTTTTTACCTTGCCATTCATTCCTAGTGTGTACTTACCCACTTTATAGTGTACACAGCCCTCCAGGTCACCTACTGAGGTCCAACCCTGTCTCTTCTCCACCTCTGGGTCATTATGAAGGATTTTATTTCTTAACCAGGACAGATAGTACAGACGGAGCTTGTTCTTTTTGCCTACATGCACAAAGACAAAGATGAACGTCAATCCCGTTTAGATGAAACTTGTGGTCAACATGATGAATCTGTGAACTCGAGCATTAGCAAAGCCAGTGAATTATGGGAGTCAAAGAGAGGTCAACTTGGAGGAAATCAACACTCAGGATGCTACAGCAGGTTAACAGAACACATTACAGTACATGGAACAACTGCAGTTTGTTTTTGGCTTAAAAAAACTATCCCTCCTGTTACTGTTAGAGATTTTAAAACATGAGGATCACATGTACCTGATATAGTGAGGAGTACATTGAGTCCCTCCAGCACATCCATCTGCTGAAACCTTCGTCTGCTGATGAGTGAATACACTTTCCCCTGACCACTTCGGTCCAGCAGCCACAGACCATTCTCCGTCCCCACCAATAGATTCACACCTACAGAGTCAAACAGACACAAACCTTACACCCACAACCAACATGCTGTCTCATGCCTCCATCTATCTGTATAACATCTGTAAACCTGTATATTTGTGAAAATTACAAACTAAACAATATATAGAGTAGGCACACTGTCAAAAACATGATAGTGTCCAGCTTCTGGTTTGGATGTAGGCAGAAAATAAAGTAAATGAAGTTTCCTAGCAAAACAAAGTAAAACTCTTATTTTTCACACGATGTAATAGACATGTATGGTACACACAAACACAGTATGTGAAAAACATCTGAATATTTTAAACTAAAAGACCAACAGTATAAAGTGACAAACCCCACAGTCCAGCACAGAGAACCTCAGTGTTGAATTTCTTCTTGTACTTGCGGATCTCTGGAGTGTCGCTCTGTGGTCGAATGTTGGTTGGGTTCACGTTCACCACAGATCCTTTCCTGTGGTTCTCTCTCTTGAATGGCTCACCCTTACTGCCCGCTAGACAAAACAAAGACGCAACATTAACAATACATGGGATAGTTAAGTAGGTACAGTTCTTCTACCTGCACCCACAGTAAAACTCTCATACCTTGCAAACTGTTTTATACAAAAACATCTAAAATATTCCATACACACTACCAGTCAAATGTTTGGACACACTTTCCCATTCAGTTCAATGGCAAAGTAGGTCCAAACTGGATAAAGTGAAACTCAGGCAAAAAATTCACTGTCTATACATTTACTCATCATTTACTTACAGATGAACATGTAGGTGTGCAGGCAGTGCTGTATGTTAGCATATTGTATTTGTGACTATATGCACTGAATACTGTGTATGTGTGTACTTACTAGGGCTCTGCGGTGGTGATGATATGGGGATTAATCTTGGATCGATGAAGGACAAGAAGGAGGAAGAAGAAGATGTGGAGGTGTTTTTACCGGTGGGACTGCTGACAGCCTGATGAGTAAAGCAACAACAGATACAGTTATTCCACAACATTTTGTATTGTTCAAAGCTTGTTTCTCCATACACGAAAAAGGAAATGCTATTAATGTCTTTATAGATCAGTGAATACAACTCTGTAACCCAAATTCTCAGACTCTCCTTCAAGCCTCACTGTATTTTGGCCCAAATATTATTACTACAAAAACCTTTGCTCTAAATCTGTATAATAAAACTGGAAATGCATGGTTGTCTAAGTAAGCACTGTATTTTAAACAAATAATGATCCTACAGCAGTTCTATTATTACTTATCACTACTTATAACTGTGCACCTAAAATGTGCCACCACCTCCCTCTGGTGGACAGATCTATCTAATGCAACTAGTCGCTTATGTTGCTTTAAACATAAAACAGCCTTGACCATGGACACTGCATTTAAATGCTTATCAAGAATTTTGTCTAATCTCATTGGGATATGCTGTCTGTTATTATCAAAATGAAATGTCTTGATAAGATCCTGGTTCCACCTCCCTGCCTGTTTTTATTGTTACTCTCCCAATGCCCTAGATTAGAGGTTCCCAAACTTTTCAGACCATGTACCACTATGTACCAAACCAAATTTCCCAAGTAACACTTCCCACTACAGATGCTGAGAAAGAGCCACTTCACTTATGTAAATCCAATGTGATGTGTAGCCATATGTATTAAATTAAATGACCTTTTTTTTTGTTTTAAATGAAGGACTTGGGACAGTTGTCAGGCTTTCCGGCCCCTATAAAATAAAGCTCTTAAAAAAGAATCAATATGCCCGTGTGTGTTTCTACAAGTCCATACAGTATATGTACTTGTTTCTGCTTGTGCATTATTCTTGTCATACTCACGTGTATTTCATGATGTGTTGGGGATTGAGGGGCAGTGGGCAATTGCGAGAAGTTGAGTTTGTGTGTTCGCTGCTGCTGACCCATAGCATTATGGGTAGGACTGCAGGAAGATGTCTTCTGCACAAGGTCTGGTAGCAGGGAGGTATTGTCTGAACCCAAATGAAAAATCTATGCAACACAAACAGGATGAAACATAGGATAATTTCTCAATCATCGGGTCAACCAGGAAGTTGAACCAACATGTGTTTGTGAATTGCATGGACAGCACTTTCACAGTGAGGGAAATGATTGACTCTGGGCCTCCTGTCAGTAAAATTGTGGAGAAGTGGCCAGTCTCTGGCATTGCCTTTTTACTCTCTCTCATTTTACTCTATGAATGAAAAAAATGAAAGCCCTGCACAATGTAAATAATCCAATGTACTGTACTAGACATGCCATCCAATTTTTTTAAGATGTACTGTATGACAAAATTTTTAAGCAATAGGTCAACATTTTGGGAAATGACCCTCTGTAAAACTGAAACTTTTACACTTTAGGTGGATTCTTTTTGCCTCTGAACAAAGCCAGGCTCGCTGTGTTTCTCTGTTCCTAGTCTTTATGGTAAGCTAACCAGCTGCTGTTTGTAACTTCGTATTTTGTGGACAGACAGAAAAATTTCCCAAAATGTCAAACTGTTCCTGCAAGGACCTGGGTCCTGGTGACATGTTGGACTGCATTATTTTGTTTCTACCATTGTGTTCACCACCATTTACATTCAAATCTTCAAGTGAAAAGGCCAGTCATAAAGGGAAAAAACTAGCCAAAATCTTGTAACATATCAGCTCAAGGTCCCTCCACCGTACTTTGAAACTTTACAAAGCTGTCTTTGTCAATTTTTCCATTTTTGCTTAATTAACATTCTAGGAAGTTCTCAATCCAAAATGCATATTTATTGTTTTGGGTCTTTCCATCTCCAGCTCCCGTTCCCTGTCACTACCTCTTAAACATCTGACATTATAGCAGTACTCTGTGGTGTTCCCATTCTTCTTGGTGATGACCCTGAAGAATTTTTATTCTTTTAGGCCACTAAGCCGGTAAACCTCAGTAAACTTGAAGACCACTGTTGATTAGCAGCCTATACAGTGGTATCTTCATTGAACAATAGGGACTCGTATTTCCAGCCATGTTGTATGGAATAGGCTTTCTTTTACTGTTTTGTACCACTGTGCTACAATGCAGTATATATTTAATGCTTGAAGCACTGTTTATTTACTGGCATCTTAATCACAAATGATGGCAAATAAACACTTGATTTTTAAAGTAAACTGAACATGTTCAGATTTACAGAGATGGTTGACTGACTGAACAACCTCAGCAGAAAGCTAAAGCTACAAGGAAGTCAACCAAGCTATAAGTTTGTGTATTTTTGTGTTCTAGTTTAACCATTCCAATTTTTAACAATAACCACAACCACATTATTCCACAAGCAGCATCAGTCATCACCATTTCTGTAGCACAGACAGTTGACTGAAGCCTCCGACTGGTAAACATGAAGATACAGTGTACCTGGTTAAGATTGTGGTGCAGGACGATGCCATCAGGTATTCCTCTGTATTTTGCTTTTCCATTGGACAGGCCAGACCTTGAAATACAAAAAGTTTAAGATAGGGATGCACACCCGTAACTGACAATAAGAATTCTAACCAATTAATACTATCAGTTAAAAAAAACAACAACTTTTTAGACAGTTTGCTAACAAACAGGCTATAGGGCCTACATATCAACTCATGGGGATAAGTGGTGGAAGGCTAAGCAGACAGGCTTCCCCAGGCTGGCCACTTGTGAGGCACTATCTTTGCATTCCTAGGACATCAGTACCATCGTACTAGTAATTCCTTGTATGTAACATACTTGGCCAAATAAATGTGATTATTATTATAACCCCACAGTACGTTGACTTGTTGCTGTTTCTGAAAAAAAAACTGTAGGCTACAAGTTTCTGTTTTGTTAAGCTGTTGGGGGTTTTGATGATTAAGCCAAGAGCGGAGGAGAAGGTTTTGTTACAGTGCTCTCTCTGTGCTGGAGATTTCCGTGTTGGCATACCAGCACTTCTCACAAAGAGCTTTACCAAAAGAGAGCTGTGCACCCCAGAAGCAACAAAAATTCAAGTTTAGGTGGTCCGGCTAGCGGTTAAGGCGCAGTGCTCTTGTCGCTGCGCCCTGGGTTCAAATCAGGGTTGCGTCAGAAAGGGCATCCGGCGTAAAACACGTGCCAAATGTCAACATGTGAGTCGTCAGTTTGACGATTCGCTGTGGCGACCCCTAAACGGGAAAAGCCGAAAGTGACATTCAGGTGGTCCCAAATAATCAATGATAATATTCTAGTTAGTTAATCAATTCCAATCACAAAACAAAGTAAATACTAATTAAAATTTAAAACAATATAAGTTTGACACCACCCCGTCTTTCCCTGTCCCACACTTCTCCTCCCCGGCCACAGAAGTTGTGATTCTAAGGTTTACTTGCATGATTAAGGCCTTTGCAGTACCTGCAGTTTTACAGATAGGCTATGAGTGCTTCATTTTACTTTGAAAGAAGATGACGTTTACGGCCTGCATCCAATATGATATCACACAACCCTAAAGTGACATGAGCTGCCTCAGGTTAGCAGTGCACAGAAGCTATTGTATTAGGCTGTTTCACTCTGTTCACAGTTCCACAGGTGTGTGATGTGATGTGTGTTCTGTTCAAGTTCATGTCCTGTTGCCGTTTATGCCATATTTGAACATGTAAAAATAAACCCCTTATGGTAAAATGTTTATTTTTAATGGGTCAAAGACACTTATTCATTCTAAGCAGACTAGCATTTTAATCTTGTTGGTTAACGAGCGTAGGCTATTGGTCAGAAAATATATTGAAAATGTGCATCTTCTATTCAAGATGCTAAACCAGAGTCTCACTACAGGTGCTGCATTTATTAGTTAGAAAGAAGATCAGTACGGAGGGACACAACTGTTCAAGTTCCCTTTTGTTGTTGTTGACTAAAAGGAAATGTGGTGTACATAAATCAGCAAGGCTTTTAATAATAAAATAATGCATGTACTATACTTATGCTGAAGATCTCACCTGCTCCTCTCTTCATCATCACTGCTACCAATCTCATCACTGGAAGAAGAGTAGTTGGTGGCTTTGTGAAGCCGGCTGAGACCAGACTTTACACCCTGTATTACGGAGGTGAGAACAATATAAACGTACAGTAGGTCTGGTGAGTCAGAAGTCCAAATTAAAAGCAGAGGAAAAAGAAAATACATCCTCTATGTTAATTTTACAGTGAATGGAGAAGGGAGTTGTTGTGACATTTGTGTGAATATGTACAGTATGGTGCTGTGGCCCATTGTCAACCAAGAACAATATGGATGCGCTGATTTTTCTGATGTTACTATCGTTTCTGCACAATTTCATAATGAGACTAATTTCCTCTACATGCAACTTCGTGAAGTCCTGCTCACACTCAGAGTATGCAGGTGTTTATGTGTACAGCTGTAGAGCAGTACAAAGTGCATAGCTGTAATAAAGTTGAGGAAAACAACTTGTAATTTACTTGTATATGTCCACTGGTTACATTTTCTTGCATCTTCCTCTGCTGCTGTAGGCGGTGCTCCAGAAGAGGGCTCTCCAGCTTGAAGTAACCTACAAGATACACACACAACTACTTACATTGGCTGTAGTTATGCAGTGTGATACAGTAGCAGCAGGGTGGCATTATGTAAATTACTGAAGCCCAAGAAACTAACATTCATAAAGAAATATACAGTTACCATGAACAAATAAGGCAGTTGTTATAAATGGCAGCCTCTGCTGGTCTGTACATGAGATCAAACACTGTGTATCACTATGCTTTACAGCCGTAAACTATATGGCTAGCTGTGTGTTGGGTCAGGTGCACTCTCAGTGAAGCCCAGAGCTTAGCTCAACCTGCTAATCAACCACTAAGTAAAAATCCTGTATTGTAAAACCTATAATACAGTGCACAATTAATAAGATTATTATTTTGTAGATATTCACACAAGACAGATTATTTTTAAAAACCGCTTTAAGAAAACTGATCTGAAAACTCGTGCATATCTATTGAAATGAATGTAATAACAGTAAAGTCACTTTCAGCTTTTTCCCGTTTTAGGGGTTGCCACAATGAATCGTCACACTTTCTGGTGAACTTATGAAAATCAGTCTAATATTCACAGTCCTTTAAGAAGTGTTGTGATTCTCCACTATCATCTGAGGGAAATATCTGGTTAATGTGTTTGTTTTTTTGGAGCTGGACAGGGAGCATGCTATTTTGAAGCTCTTTTCAAATCACTAGCAGTAGCATTTAATGTTTTGACTCATGGTGGCCGCACTAATGGATTTGGGTTGACTATCAAGTTGTTCTAGAGCCAGATACTAGAAAGTGCCAGAATGATCATCTCTGCTGCCACTACCACACTAGCTCTGCAGTTATTCTGAGCACAAAATGATTGCTCTATAGTACAAACTGGAAAAGGCTGCTGTTCTTCCACCTCATACCAATGGTTTCAGGTGATAGCAGTGTCAGAATTCTAAATAATGCTTTAAAATAAGCAACTTCTGCATCATTACACAAAATTGCAGGAGTTTATTGTAAACACAGTTTTAATTTTGAGAAACACTTGGACCACCAGTACTATATGGGGGATTTTCCACTATAGGACCATACCAAAACGCGTTATGCTGAGTAACGCTCGATATGCGTTCTGTGCTTGTTTCCACTACGATGCGGCGGCTGTGGAGGTGCGCTAAATTTCAGCACCTCTCAGGACGTAGTAGGAGGTGGGGGAGTGCACAGAGTAGTCCCCAGTGTTTGGTTAAATATCTGCATCTTCACACCTCAAGCATTAGCATTACAAGCACTGTGTGTAAACACACGGCTGACTGTGTGTTAGAGAGGAGCAGCCTCTCCCTCCTAAACAGAGACCGACAGGGACAAAATACAGTGGGAAAACAACCATGTCCTGCTACCAGTTGCAATACGACTATTTTGATGGTATTTAAACCAAGGTATAATAATCTATTTGTAAATTAGACTGTATATACATGAATGCCACAGATACCCAATCGAACAACCATATAGTTCAAAGAGGAAAGCATCATTTTCTAAGCTGCTGTATAGGCAGATAAAAGGCTTTTTGCCACCGTACAGCAGTGTGAATCTTTGATCTGTGGCTCCAAACAAAGACGACCGAGGCCAGCAGCCAAGCTGAGCTGGAGGGGTCAAAGTTGTTTCTTCCCAACTACACACAGAGGGCAACTTTGAAAACATACTCTCTCCCATTATACCCTCTCTCTCACACTCTAAGTAGCTACAAGAGCAGCTTCCTTACTGCCATGCACAGAGAATGTGAAGAGCAGAGCTATGAAACTGATGAGATGCTCCTTTCTTTCTCTCAAGACAAACACAGAGGGCAAACTCTAAACGCATTACTCTATGTTCTGCACTCTTGTTGCTTTTATATATATGCACTGTACTGTATATGGTGTTTGTGGTGGGCATGGTGTGGCTGCATGTATCTAAAGTGTGCGTCTATTCAAGTAAGTAAACTGGCATGGTGTGTGACTGGGCAGTGTGAGCTAAGCTGACAAACCAATGATTTAAATAAGCACAAAGTTCATACAAGCAAATCACACTTAAACACACACACACACACACACAGCATTAGTTCACATCAGTGCCACCACATATGCAAGAAGACAATATGGAGCTATATAGAACTGCAGCAGATATTCCAGTCATACTGGTCAAAAACATCATAGCTATTACTATACATGAAAAATTAGATTCTAAGATCAAGACATTCTTGTCATGAAGGAACCCAAACAGTTAATTCCCACAACCGGTTCATTAAAACAAACTACACCTTTTGACTACCAGAAATGGGTTGATGAACAGTTTTTTAGGTTTCAGTTTTAGATACAGCAGATTACAACATGCGATTAAGCTTAGGATAGTACTGAAGTACTGAAAGTACTAAGGTGGCACAGACCTCGGTGGTTTTTGTTTGTAGAGGAGTCTCCATAGGACACAGAGAGTCCACACTTATCTGTTACAGACACCGGACTGCCACTAGGTGGAGAGAGAGAGACGTACATAGTGACACAGATGGAGCGTTACAGAGACAAAAGGTACAGTGCAGTGAGTAACTTAACATTATACACATCTATACGTTGTAATCTTAGGTATAGTATTCATGCTGCCCCTGCCTGTTGCCTGACCCAAATTCTTCACCAATATTCTTATCTAATCAAAAAAAGCCATCTAAGGGTAACATGCTCCACTGAACTAAGAGGAATCAGTCAGGTGATCCCCAGTTGTCCCTACTGTAGGAGCAGTCCCTTTCACATTACACATAGTTGTTTCACCCATCATTAAGCATGATTAACACGGCTAAAAGAAAAATAAATAAAAACTAAAATCTTCCCCTGAAGTTCTTGACATAAAGTAATTTGCTTGTGTACAGACAAAACCTATGTCAACTTTAATAAATGACATGTATTTGTGTTTAGGCTGTATGAGCAGTGTAAATAGTGCACAGTTCAGTAGTACTCTACCTTGAAGCCGCCCTCTTGTGTCCCATCACCAGTTCTCTACAGTAAAACTTAGAGGTCGTGCGTTCTGGGACCTGGAATTTACACAACACAGAGGGTAGATAAACCTATTTGATAACAATATATGATTAGTGAATACACAAACATGGCTGTCTTCTGCTGGTGCTGACTGCTTGTTCCACGTATCATAAGTCTGAGAGCTCTTAACAAGGATTTCATGTGTCGCCATGCAGGGTTTCACTAATCAGGGGAAAGGTTCTGTGGTTATACAACCTTTATGTACAACAACCTCTATAGTGGCTGAAAGGCTGTAAAGCAAAGTGCAATAAAAGCTTTAACAACACTGAGAAACTTACATGTAGGTTCTGAGATACTCAAAACCTAATGAGACCATTTGGCCCCTCTTTTTTTTTTTATTTCACTGCTGCTCCTCTAAACGTCATGTCCAAATCTTACATATGGTGTAGAAATACTATCTGAGCCAGGGATATTTCTCAAACGTTTTTCCAGCAATACTGCATTCAAATATGACAAAAGCAACATTGTGAAATCAGGGGATATTTCTCAAATGCTTTTCCAGCAATACTGCATTCATGATATGACAAAAGCAACATTGTGAAATCAATGCAAGATCAGTCTCTGGAAGTGTTACAAACAACTAGATTCTTTTCAACCTTTCATTCTTGTCAAGCTCTCTGTCCTGCCAAGCAGCTGGTGACCTTACGACCTCTCATCTCCAGGGTCACAGGACCCAGTTACAGAGAGGAAGGCACACCCAGCAGAGCAGGAAGAGAGCTGTGGGAATACCTAGCATCCCTCTGACAAGTTGCCCACATCCTGTATTACAGTCTACAGAGCTTGGTGTCTGCCATTTCCTACTATTGTGGCACACATATGAAGCTTATAGTGACATTTAGAGCAGTAGAAAAACCTTTGTAGAGATATGTATGATCAGAAAAGTCCTCAAAGGTTGAGCTTAGGGATGTTCAGTGGGTAAATTATATGAACACAAACAGTTGTAAAAATTCTATAATGCATAGTGTCGCAGTGTATTGTGCTGTAAGCCCCAAAGGTTAACAGATTTAGAGCCACTCCAGGCTTTTAAACCAGCTCCACTCACCCCACTGCAATCACAGAAGAGAGCAGTGACTTATTAACTGTTGTATTGATTCCATATGGCCCGTTAGTTCAGCTACATAAGATAGTAAACAGACAGCTTAACTGGGCTCCCCTCCTCTCACTGTAATTATTAGCTGTTCTATCAATTCCATATGGTGTTCTGTTAGTAAATACACCTAATAGCATGTTCTCTCTGTAAAAGCCCTAGTGGTGTGGGGGTGGAGGTGGGCAGTAATGTTAAAGGGAGAAAGAAAATGGATGATGTGTTTTTGGTACATAAGGTGTGTTTTATTTAGAGACACTGTATAACAAGCTTTAAGGAAAAACCACTCTGCTCTCTCCCAACACAAACATACATAGAAATGCACACTCACAGTATTGCAGCCTCGTGCTGTCTGCATCACTTCCTTAGCTTGGTATGGCCAGTCTACAGTATGCTTAACAAACACATTTTGCCACCCTCATATGATGATGCACATGAGCTACATCCTGTGCATGAGGCCAGACAAAGTTCCCCTTATAGTGGTTCAGTTTTCATCAGACCTGCCGGCCCGTAACCTTACTGTGTTATTCAGGAGATAGTTGCTACTCACTTTAGGCGGTGCCTCGACTGAGCCCCAGAAGACATCATCAGTTGTGGACAGCGGGGAAAAGGGGGATATGGGGGACAAGGGGGAAGTGGCCATATCTGACATAGAACTGCTGTGAGGGGCATCTCGACTAGAGCGTAGATTGGCATTCTGGGGGAAAAAAGGTTCATCTATGGTTATATGTGATGTATTGATATATGTCTTACATTTATACATTAACAGCCACTTCACGAAAATTACTACAATCCCAGGAAAGATTAAACAGGAGTATTTTTAAGAGGTTATAGCAAAAATCAACAGTTTGACCAAAAATATCTCCACTCAAGTGGGGAACAGAACAGAACAGAACACACTACATGTAGGTAGAAGAAAAAGCATGAGAAAAGTCAAACAGAGGAGAGCATGATATAACATGTTCAAACTAAATAGTGTGAATCTGTGATGGGACCTTACTGTGTATACCTGGCTGATGTGAGCTCTCTGCAAGGCAGGGGTACAAGGACTAGAGCTGCTCCCAGAACCCAGCCTCGAATGCATCTGGCCGGGAAGACCAGCAGTCAAAAGCAGCCTGGCTAGGTTCGATTCCTGGAAGTCCATCTAAAACAAAAAGCACACAGAAGACTGATAACTGATTTGTGAGGGGTGTCTGTGTGTGTCTTGAATCTTATAGACTGACTTAGTCCTTCATTTAGTTAGGTAATCGAAATGAGTTGAACAATTATTATTTAAACATCAAGTATAAACCCTACTGTACTACACTGACAGACATCAGCAAAAGCATATAAAAGCACGAACATGCAGGAAAAACTAATGAAGTGGCAAAAAAAAAAAAACTTTTTTGCTGCTGCTGAAAAAAAAAACTCAGCTAAGCTGTAAAATACATCATTTCTGGTGAGTTTGAAAAAGGAAATGCATGCTCTCCTCCTTCATGTTACAAAGAATACTGCAAATAATGTTGGATATACTGGTGGGCGGTCTTAATCAGAACAAGGTCTGCATGAAACTGAAGTTTGATGTGATGCAGGCATTGACACATCACTTTTGGAGGCCCGCTACTGGCCGACTCAGAGCATGGGGGGGATTGTGGATCACCATGACTGTAGTCCATACTTTCCAACCCTTAAAGACTAATTTATGGTTTCTGCATCTGTGTGTCTGCCACACATGCATTTCACTGTGCAGCCCACAGTTTGAGCCTATGCAGATTGTCTGCACTGCAAGCACACTGGTGGCACTACAGTCTGCACTCAAGAATGACACTTAAAAACTGTGTTAAAAGTGCATAGTTTCTAAATCTCAGTTTCTACAGAGAATTGTTAAAGTCCTAAATCAAAGTTTAGGCGCTATCTTATGATCATTTCTATGAACTGTAACACTGCTGCTAAGTCAGACATCAGTGTCCCCAACATAATAAAATTAAGAGTTTTGTGCAATTTTCAGAAGTTTGATACTAATCATCATCTGAAAGCAGCTTCAAGTGCAAGTTACAAGAGTGTCCAACATTGGGAAATAACCAGAGATCAAGCTATTATTTTAAACCATAGTCAGCTTTCTGAGTGGCTGTTTGAAATGCCTTCTTCTATAAGTGACACCTTTGGTCAGTTTCCTCTTCATGCAGTTTATAGATATGCTAACAATAGAAGCTACAAACCACATGTCGTCCTACAGAAACAGTCAGCGAATGCCATCACTCATTTACACACAGGAGGTACATGAACCCAGTATAATCTTGACAGCAAAAATTGAATGTTTAAATTGAGTTTACAGAGATGTTAGAGCCAGCATGTAGACAAGTCATTGCTGGCAGGATGTTTACACAGGAAGAGTACCAGTGCCAGACTCTGCCATCACTTTTTCCCTTTAGTAACTGTGTTGATTTGAAATGTGTCTTTCTAACTTACCCAACAATCTATTTACTTGACCTTTGTGACATTAAGGTGAAAGAGGCCTGTCAGCTGAGATAAGGTTGACAAACAACCCAAGTAGAAAAAAATGGCATGTTAGGAGGGAGTGGGAAAAGGAACAAAGTGCATCAGAACTGACTGAGAATAAAGAAAACATGAGACAAAACTGAACAAAAACAATGGAAAAGAAGAGGGCTTAAGAACAACAGACAGAGTGAAAGAGGTGGGATGTAGAGGTGATAAAACAAGCGAGACAGCTGAGGCAAGCAGGGTTTTACCACTGAGCACTGGCTGTCTGCAGGGCGGCTGGGTGAGGAACCAGCAGCAGCAGCAGTTTTCCCACTACTAGCTGTTAGCTTGTGGACAGCTGCCACAGGGTTTTCCCTCTGCCACTGCCTCTCTCTCTCCCGGTGCCTGTGATCATGCTGCAGCGAAAGGAGCTGGGTTTGGTCCTTAGGCAGAGTGCGGTGAGATCTCCTGCCCGCTGAGGGCGGCTGATGCTGGGACAGAGGCTGGGGCTTGGCCTGTAGCTGCAGCTGACGCTGGGGGTACTGAGCCTTATGCTGAATCAGCTGGCTTGGAGCCACAGCTCTCTAAGTAGCAAACATGAAAAGCACACATAGAAACTGACAAAGCCTGGGAGTGTCTATATGACATAAGACACATGTATACTGTGTTGTATGACTGACTCTACATGTACACATGTGAATACGCATACATGCACATGCTAGTTCTGATCACAATGGACTCTCCCAGGATCAGTAGAAATTGACAAGACAAGCCACAGCTGCTGCATGAAAACCTTATAAAGCATATAGTGCATCATTAAGCTTGTTATGACACACATTCAAAAAAAGCACATAGAGTTGCAAGAAAAAGTAATGGCACTGTTTGCAATTTCCTGGTTTTCTGCATAAATTGGTCATGAAATGTGATCTGATCTTCACCGAAGTCAGAAATATCAACAAAGACAATATTTCTAAGCTGATAAAACACAGTCATGATCTTTCACGTCTTTAGTGGCTGTAAGAACAAAGCTGATATAAGCCACTTCTTTTGTGTAAAATATAGAGTAGGCCAAAACGTGACAACATTCATAAAATAACAATCAGGTACAGAAGCTCAGCCATATGAGAACAACTGGTTTTCTGGCTGGACAATTTGATTTGCGAGCATAGCTTTCCCCAAATAATGCAATAAAAGCACTTCTACTCATCTTCATCTGACAACTTAAGGTCACTGCTGACCAGAAAACACTTCTTTGTAATAGCAAAACCTATACACATTTTATATTTGCCAAAGAACAAATTTAAAGGAGGATGGTGGAATTTTCACAGGATCAGCACCTTGACTGCTATAACTTAAACAGTCCAGTGAAGGCAAAGCTACACAGTCACCACAAAGAAACAAACAAAAGATATAGTATATAAATGCATCCAACTCTATGGCAGAGGATTACACAGAAGAGAAGCAGGGAATAATATGGGAAGGAGTGTAAAGACTGCAGGCTGGTACTACATACAGTGGCTTAAGGAAGTATTCAAACCCCTCCACTTTGTGCACATGCTCATATTTTTCCCAACAAACTACACTTATTAACCCATAATGACAAGGTAAAAGCAGGTTATAAGATACTTCTGCAACATGACTAAGTCAAAAACTACACAAGTATTAACACTGATTACAGCTTCTTGGGTACTCATTTCTATAAGATTTGCACACCTGGATTTGGGCTTTTTATACCCTTCTTCCAAGCAAATCCTCTCAAGCTCCTTCAGACTAGATGGGAAGTGTCTGTGAATTGCCATTGTCAGGTCTCTCCACAGATCTTCTGTGGGGTTAAAGTCTGGGCTTTGGCAGGGCCACTGAAGGACAGTCAGAGACTTCTCTTTTACAGTGTGCAAAAAGCAAAGGGGTCTGAAAACTTTCTGATATATGGTGTGTGGTTGAACATGCAGGCACTTTAACACATCAAGAAAATTCACACAGAAGCCATGTAGCTCCTCACAAACTACTAGAACATCCCGCCGTCCATCTAAAATATGGACATGACTACCACATGACAACTGGGTGAGATCAGATTAGTGTGAATGCTGCTATAGAGGGAAAACCAGCACACATTCAGTGCTGTTTTCTTGACAATGAGAGGACAAACACAGTCAGAATATGCAACATGCTTCCCTAACATTGTTCAGCTAAACACTTTAGCCACGGCAACACATCAGCTTTCTTGGTGCCTAAGTACAAAACCTATTTTCACAGCAGTATTAGGAAACACTCCATGTTAGCCTGTTACGATTTACCAGCCAAATCTCCACTGTAGAATGGTGAATTGAATATGAATGCCAAGTTGCTGCTTACACTGATTAAGAATGCAAAACTGTGAGAGAATTTAAAATTCTAATTCTAATTATAATAATTTCATTCTATAATTTTCAGCATATCTGGCACACCATTATTAGTGCTGCATTAGATAAAATGTTTATACAAAGACCAGATGTATGCTACTAGTGAAAACAAATATGTAGAATCCACAATGGAGTCCCAATGAAGACAAATGTAAGACCTCTTAATGTAAGATATGTTGACAACTGAAACCACTAAATACTAAAGATGGCATGGCATGACTAACTGGAGAGTTTAGTTTTAATTGTCCAAAACAAAAAAGGTCATCTGTCTTTTTCTGCAAGGCCCAACTCATCAAGGCAAATGTGCAATCTCTCTGCAAACAAGACACCAGATGCCAAACTAAGCAGCAACAAAACTCACCAGATAAGACGAAGCTGTTAAGATTCAGGAGATCACCATCATTATTTCATATCACAGGCAGAAAAGTCATTAACCTACAGAGTCGTTACAACATCAAGGCAGAGAGATAGAGGAGAAAGAAAGTGTTTTAGAAATAAAGAGGTGACAGTGAGAGGGAAGAGACATGTTTAGGGAATCTGTAGGTATGAAACCCCTACTGTGATTAGATACTAACATTTTTGGAGAAAATCCAAGAGACAAGTTTGTAAGAGAAATAGTAGAAATGAAAAAGGTTCCATGCTGTGAGGACCAGGGAGAGGGATGAAGAGAGGAAACAAGTGAGGAAAGGAGAGAAGGCATGCTGAGATCAGCAGAGACAGAGGGACAGAGAGAGACAGGGGAGGCTTTAAAACAAAAGTGACAGCATGCTGCTATAAGCACTGGCTTAAAATACCGTCAAGATCTGACACTACTGCTACTACAGTGTATGTCACGTTGACTCTGAAACCTTACTGGAGTCTCACCAGAAGCCACATTAAAACTATCTTTATGATCTTCCTAGGTTCCACTGGGGAAGAAATCCCCAGCATCACTAAAATCATAAGCAGTACCTATGGGCAGGGGGCTGTATTAGCTTTATTTATTTATTTTTTTGCATCAATACTATAGTGCCTCTGCGCTTGCTGTTGCTGCACCAGCAGCCTCTCCCACAGCAGCATGCTGGCTGTCGTCCTCCTCCTCTCCTATCCCTCTCTCTTCAGCTGTTTTCATGGCCCTCACTGGCTGAAGCCTGTAAATATTCAAAGCTAATTAAGTGGATAGCTAATCGCATTGGTCGGGCTGATCAGCTTTGCTATGTGACTTTCATTATTCCCCTGAACTGAGGGAACAAACATTCAGTGTCAGAGATCAAGAATTAGCATTAACTTTATCCACCTACAGAGCAGTCCATATACATCAGTGTATATACAGTGTACTAACCTTGAAAACAGCTGTATTCTGGTGTTATCTTAGCTAGCCTTACTAATAACCTATTAGAAGAGTTGGATCTCCACAACTGACAGCCATGTTATAAGCAAAGACACAGAGAGGAGGAGCTGTTCATACATGGCCCACTGTGTGTGTGTGTGTGTGTGTGTGTGTGTGTGTGTGTGTGTGTGTGTGTGTGTGAGAGAGAGAGAGAGAGAGAGAAAGAGAGTGGGGCAAGGACCTGCTGAGTGAATAAATGTGGAGTGTGCAAATGAACTATAGAGGGGAAGTTGTTCTGAAGTTATTGTGAACTGTGTAGTTCGACTTAAAAAAAATATTAGAATAAAAATTGGTGGCCAAATAAAGTCTGTGTGGGAAACACTGAATCATTAGATCTATAAAATGTCAGAAAATACCCACCACAAAGGCCTAACGTTCCTTCAAATGTACAGCAGTCCAAAACATAAAGGTGCTGAGTGTCACAATCACATAAATCAAAGGAAAGCAGCAAATTATCAGAACTGAAAGGTTAAACAAGGGAAGGTCTAGCATTTTCAATGAAAATTGTCTGTCAATTGACAATTCGGTTAAACGAGTAATTATGTCAGTTATTTCGCTCATTACAAAGGTGCACCCACATATAATGGTTTAAATCCATTATACTGAGCATATTTCAAAACAATTTACACCTGCTTTTACTCATGAAAAATGGAGAGGTTAATGGCAAGTAAGTGAAAAAATACAGAGTGAAGGTTTATTACCTGCTCTGCTGTGGAGTCCAGAGGCCTTACTGATATGTTGGCACTCCGCTGTCTGCCTGCCGGGTCCTGCTCAGGACACATACACACAAACACACGTGTTGTGTTTTCATTACTTCAGGGGACATTACACTGATTTACATTCATTTTCTGGTGACTTGCCCTCACCCAGCGTTCATCATAACCACCATTTGCCTCACTCCAACCTTAAACCAAGTCATCACTCTAAAATATAATGACTTACATTCTAGGGATGTCCTTATGGGAACTTGTTTTTTTTGGTCCCCATAAGAATGTTAGGTCTCCACAATGTGACTGTGTAAACAGTCCCCACAACATGAGTAATACCAGCCCCCCCCACACACACACACCTTTGAATACATATAAACAAATGGTTTAATTAAAATTTCTTCCAATATATTCTGACTTTAAATGCATTTTGTTTAAACCTTAATTTAGTTTTGCTTAAAACTACATTTCACCTTAATTCAAAATCTAAAGTCTTCTCGTTCAAGGTATTGTAAGGTCCTCACAAGAATACAGGTACACAGCACAGATACACGGACATAGAGGCTGACTTTAATTAGGGCACACTAAAGGTTATGAGCCAAATTCTGAAAGGTGGGAACTAAAATATTCAGTGTACAAAATAGCAGACAGCTTTTAGCCAGCACCCTCAACTCTAAATATTTCATTAAGACCTCTTTGAATTTCTCCTGGAAAATCCTTGTATGTCCAAACAGTCCAAACTAGATATTTTTACATTTACACGGTTTAATTGAATTGACTCCATTTTGCATCATTGCCTTTAATTGTATTTATTCAGCTTGGATTTGAGAGGTCACATTCAACAGAGCTTGAGCTAAAACGGCAGCTTAATTAGATGACAAAGCTTCTGTGATGAAGTTTGTACATTTGATAACAAACTTAAGTTCAGTTTGAGCCATTATGCAAAGTAAATATTGACACAAAAGCTCAATCTAGTATTGACAAGGATGACAGTGACTGTAGAGGACATCTAGTGCTTGATAAATGTTACACAGTGAGGACCCATGACACAGAAACAATCAATGCCAGTGGTTCTACAAACCACTAAGTTCAACCGTATTTCCCAGAATGCAACAGACAAACAAGCACTTTTATTCAGTCATGTCACACTCCCCTTTGCAAGACAAAGGTACAGGGTTTGTGGGAAATGTGTTCTGACAGTACTGCAGGTATGAGATTGATCATCACTGTCTCCACCATGGTCTAATTTGTAATTGCTTTAATTAAAGAAAATCACATTACTAATTATTAATGTTACTGTGATGTAAATTAATTATTTAGCACATTTGCCCAGTATGCAGTAATTTTATGTTGTCAGCATTGTTTGTAGCAATTCATATATTTAACTGAACATCGGTTGATTTGTTATGTATTATTAATAAAGTCCTCATATAATAGCATAAAAGCAAAGCTTACAGTAAAAGTTATGCTGTGTTAATGCATCATTAGAAATAATTTAGCTGGGCAGTGATCAATGAGGAAACTGCCTTTACAAAAAGGCCTTCACCAGATTAAAGGTAAAAGCTATCGCTAGGGGTCTAATCCTAATAAATGTCACTTCCGTTCTACTTTGTATGAATTACCATGAAGTAAAAGACAATATGCAAACAGTGTAACAGGACCCAGTGCCACAAACTCAACTGACTGACTTGTCTCCTGTAGGATTTCACACGAGTCTCTTCAGACCTTATAAATGTGCATGAACTATGCATGAGCTTATAACTTATAACTGAAGCTGTGACCTTCTAGCTATTTTCATCTTGTCACACCCCACCACACCCCTACGCCACTATGGTCATGAGCTTTGGGTCATGACCGAAAGGGCCAGATCCTGGATACAGGTGGCCGAAATGAGCTTCCTCCGCAGGGCGGCCGGGCGCACCCTTAGAGATTGGGTGAGGAGCTCGGTCACCCGGGAGGAGCTCAGAGTAGAACCGCTGGTCCTCCACATCGAGAGGAGCCAGCTGAGGTGGCTCGGGCATCTGTTTCGGATACCTCCTGGGCGCCTTCCTAGGGAGGTGTTCCGGGCATGTCCCACCGGGAGGAGGCCCCGGGGAAGACCCAGGACACGCTGGAGGGACTATGTCTCTCGGCTGGCCTGGGAACGCCTCAGCATTCCCCCGGAGGAGCTGGAGGAAGTGTCTGGAGAGAGGGAAGTCTGGGCATCTTTGCTTAGACTGCTGCCCCCGTGACCCGATCCCGGATAAGCGGAGGAAAATGGATGGATGAATGGACACCCCTACCTATCACACTTAACTCTATAATGGAACAATGGCATCTTTGTAACACCCACACCGTTGTATTGAAAGTGGCCGCAGCTGGTTTTTCACAGTAGATGTTTTACTTGTTATCCAGGGAACACGTTTGCTAAGCATGCATGTCTTTTAAACCCTACTTTGCTTAAATTCAAGCAGTTACACCAACACAGGTGAAAGTTTTCCCACTACAACTACTCTTTGCCATGGAACAGTTCTACTGGTGCAGCTGGGAGTGCAAGGCAGCCCACACAGAAACAAGACAAACTGTCTACAGCTTCACTTGTGACTCTGTACTTGGATACAGTGGTACTTTCAGCTATAGTAAATGCTGACAATAGCATGCTAGTATGTTTAAAATAACAATGTTAACATATTGATAAATGACAAACATCTACCACAAATGGAGAAAAAGTCATTAGAATACATCCTCTGGGAACCATGACTGTCTGTATACAAAGCTGTGAAAATCCCTCCAGTGGATATTGACTTAGTTCACATCCTCAGTGAAAACTCTGGCCTGCTGGTAGCGCTAGATGAACAGCTAGGGGTTCACTGAAGAAATTTGTATCCATCCTCTGGGTAACTTGTACATTTTTTTACGATCATCCATCTGACAGCTGTCATTGCACTAAAAACCCAGAAATGACAACCTAATGGTGGTGCTACAGGAACGACAAAATACATTATGCTTAATCATCTGTCTTCACTAAATTTCAAGCACACACTTCTGATAGCATTTCAGTATAACATTATGCTTCATCATCTGTCTTCACTAAATTTCTTGCACACACTTCTGATAGCATTTCAGTATAAATGAACTGACTGACCAATAGTACCATCCCTAAAGCCACAACGCTAGTGTGTCTTGAAACTGACGATCTGAAGTTCCTTCAGCACTGACCAATAGTAGTTCAAGTCACCAATTACACCACCATCTACAGTATTTTCTATACACACTTATCTCATTCCGCGTTGCAGAGGATTGGAGTGTCTGCCTGCATGCACTGAGGCAGAGAATACTACAAACTGTTTACCCTTCTGTTAAAGGGAAGGCGTACTATTCACTTGTCTTTACAGCACAGCTGTGTGATAGCACCCTTCATCATCAACTTTCTCCAAGCATTGCATGGACTCAAACCTAATAACAGACCACTTCTCTTATCTTTAAGTCACCAAAATACCACTGAAATATAACATGAAATACTTGCCAAATCAGTGTATGAAATGATTGGCACCACCGCACCCAGACAAGTTCTTCATCTGACAAAACATAAGACATAACATCACACACTCACTAAATCTGTTACAAAATTAAATTCAGATGCATTAAAACTTCATGAAGGATCAGATAGATCCATTACGCATGGACATGCTGAACTTAATGACTTTGAGGCAATCTGTGTGATCAGGGTTTAATATGTACAGATAGTTCTCTGTCACACACACGTAAGCACATAAACCAAACAGACATGTAATGTAACTAGACAGATATTACTAGCTTATCTGTAGTGATAATATAAACCAATTGAAACTCATTGGTGTGTGGGATAGATTCATTAAGGATGTGTTAAAATTAATGACTAAAAAGCGAATCTCTGAAACAGGAGCAATGTCTTTGAGTAAAGTGACTGGAATTGGCTGAGACACCTCATGCTAGCACAAGAAAAGTTTCTCACAAGTATGCCCACACTGATACAGGCTTCTATAAAACTACTTCACAGAAAAAGTTATTTTTAATTTCCCACAGATTTGTATGATGTTTTAAATTAAGTTTTAACAAGATAAAACAATTTTTAAGGCAACTTCAGTGGAATGAAGGAAACAGGAGTACAGAAGCAAAACAAAGAATTTCTGAAACTTATTCAATCGCCAACTAAATTACAAAACTTTCTGAAAGGCCTTCTCTTTTAAATATGTAATTTAAGCTGCACCTTTGTACTGTTATACAAGTATTTCATGTTATACTTATTAGAAAAATTGAGAAGATGGCTCCTATTTGGCTCATGGAGGTGACTGTGGTTCAGTGGGTAGAGCAATCGCCTCCCAACTGGAGGGTCAGAGGTTTGAATCTCGGTGCCTGCAGTCCACATATCGAAGTGTCCTTGGGCAAGACACTGAACCCCCAAATTGCCCCCGATGGTTAGAGCCATCGGTGTGAGTTGGCACCGCAGATGGCTTCCTCGGTTCTGTACCGGAAACAAATTCCTTGTGTGTGTAACATACTTGGCCAAATAAAGGTTATTATCCCATTTCTTGTATTATGATGGGATTACATTTGATGGAAATGTGTTTCGAAGGTAATTCTTCATCTGAAAAAGTTTCTTCTGAACAGTTAATGATGATACATTTTGGAGATTTGTCTGCAAAACAAGTTTCTTCTGATCTGCCGCTTCCAGGAGCGAATGTTTTCATCATTTAAGTCCCAAAGGCTGAGACATGTAACCACTGTATCAGTGCAGCATGCATCAAAAACATCACAAGCTTATGGCGTTGCACAAGAAAGTAAGTTAATGTGTTAACTCATTGCAGCATCAAATATGGATAGAGCCTAACACACACACCTCGCTTGTCACAAGATATTCCTTCTAGAAGGTAACTTGGGTTTTGGTAAATACACACTTTATGTAATTTTAATCTAACATCAACTACATGCTTCATGTAACAATATTTGTAATTTTGCTATATCGCAACAGCAAAATGTTTCAATACTGTCATGGGACTGTGACGGCATCTACTAGGATATTACATATGGTTATTTCTCTAGTATACTGTAACTGCATTCAGGTTGCAGAATTTGAAGCCAACATAGCGGATGCTCCTTTATCGACTTTTACAGCCGTTGTGTGGCAGCATTTCAGTTTTTGTGTTTCAAGAAATGACACTGGTGGAAAGCAAACTGATTGGCACATAACAATTTGCAAAATACTGTTCTTTTTATGTTATGTTCAAAAATTAATAAATACTGAATTACAAAAAAACTTGCAAATATTGCAGAACCAAGGCAGTACTAGCCACATTTAAGACTGAAATAGTCCTAGATACATCTCGCAGAAACAGTTGGGACATGACTGTGCGCTACCCTTTAATGGAGAAAAGCAAACAAACTGGACACATATACTGTACATGCAAAAACCAACTGCTTAATGACCACCCTTAAGTATTTTCACTTGAGAAAGTAGACCATGATGTTTGAAAAACACAAATCTCACCTTTACGTAGCATGTTGCTGCTGCAATATATTATTTTTAAAAGGATCACTACGGACTACTGCATTACCTTTTATATGCATTATACAAAAAAAGCTAATTAATTTTGTATTTTTTTCATATTTTTTTTCTTTATTTTTATTATTGTGGTAAATATCATAATGTGGACTTTTTATCATGGCAATATCATACCGTGAGTTTTTGGTATCGTTACATTCTTAGTAAATAAGCAGCTTGTTACACTGGTCCCTGGGACCAAAACACATGTTTAAGCAAAAATGTTACAAAGGTACACCTTATGCTACAGGTTTTAGCTTTCCCTAAATATTCAGTATTTTTGGACATGAAAAACTGCTAAACAAAATGTTTGTAGTTTGCCATGTTTGGACATTTTTCAAATTTATGTTATGTTTAGCATGCTGACATGCTAACATTATTCATGAACTAAGGTGCTGAACAACCAGAGTTTCTGACTCACTGATGGTACTAGAAAAACATCGGAATTACCACAATCATCAACATTTGGCTAGCCACTAGTGTGGCTAAGAATACAAGTACAGAGAACTTTTTTATGTTGAATCACACTCAAAGTTGATTTCATTTTTTGCACCCTGTGGTATATAGGCACCCCAAATACAAAGCCAACATTTAACCTGTACCTGTCTCCTGTCAGCATGCCTGCTTCTTTCATCCAGTAGGATTCTGTTGTCATGGACATCAGACTCCTCCCCGAGCAATACCTCTTGAAGCTCCGCCCACTGCAAGGCACCATCAGTCCGCTGCCGCCTCTGTTGCTGGAAACAGAAAACAAAGTAACGACAATCAAAAGCAAATCACAGAGTGGGAAGAGTAAGGATATGACTCAGTAGGTGGAAAGTGACACTTGATTCTTGTGCATCTCCAGCAGCACTCTTGCTTACTCACTGACCTATAAATGCTAAGTGATTACAGAACAAGAATGCGCCTAAGCAGTACTTACATCCTCCAACTTTTGCCGCTGCTCATGTTGTTGCTGGATCCTCTTCTGTCTGTCAGCCACTAACTGCTGCTTATATCGTTCCTGCTCTGCCAACTGCTGCCTGTGTTGCTGTAATGCCTAAACATAAAGTATTATATGAACATAGTTATGAAAATTACAGTGTAGGCTTTTCAAACTCTTGAGTCTTTGATTTAAAAGGTATAGTCCATTATTCTAATTCATTACAGATTTTGTCATATTCAGCTAAAGTTTCCTCCTTCGTCTTGCCTTCCATCTACTGTGCACTCAGAATACTTTGTATGTTCGTAGACAGTCTTGTGGATCTGGAAACGGCGAAAAAAGGTCAGAGTCAGGCTGGGCAATTCCAGCCAATCGGCACAAGGAATGCTCTTGCACAGCAGAGGTGGGAAGAGGGAAGTGAAACGGCTGTTATACCTGGTACACTAGAGTTTGGAAAGTCACAACATCACTGTGCATCCTATAGAGCTAAACAACTGAAGATGTCAGTTGTTTAGCTCTGTTGAAAATGTCAGAAGAACAAAGCCTAAAAAAGGAGGACTGTGATCAGGTAAGGTCGAAGACCTGTCTAAACATAGCTGCCACTTTCCAACAATGAAGAAAGCTCCAGGATTTGAAAGGCATGAGGATGGAGGTTGCTCTTTTTCTGCTGGACAAGTGGCTAATTCTTTGCTATGTTCCACTGAAAATCATTAGAGTCAATATTATGTAGTTCAATTAGGTAGTCTTGGTGGTACATTAGCAAATTGCAGCTGGTTTGCTTGCAGCGTGTCACATTAGCCTGTGTCCTAAATTACTTTTCCACAGACATTCTGCTAACTTGCTAGCTAGTTTGCAAATGTCTGCGACTGTTGTGTCATTAGCTATAGTAGCTGGAGGTTGTTGTTAGAGAATAACAGTGAAGTCTGTAGCTAGTTAGCCACATTTTGTGCCCTAGTTGCTAGCATCATTGTCATGGTAATACACACTCATGAAATCTGGCACATATGGTTAGGACATGGTTGTATAGGAACTCCCAACCTACCTGTTGTCTTTGTTGACCCCCACCTCCTCTGTGGCCTCCCTCTCTGTCTCCATCACGATCTTCTGTCTGCAAACGAAGAAACTCCCGCCTCAACGTCCACTCACCAGGAACATTCACTATGGAACTGGGAGAGACAGAGAAATGTTGTAAGTGATAGTAACAGAGACAGGTATGTGCTGGAGTACACCGGAGAAAATGACCAAGAGAAAATGGGCAGAGTTATAAGAGGAAGAGAAAGGGCTGAGTTCATATATTGCCATCTGCAGAGGGGAAGTTAATCTGGATTGGCTGATAATGATATAAGTCTATTAAGAAAGACAGTGATGATGTTTCACATTAATCTTTGAGGAACTGCTTGCATGTTTGCTTTAAACTATGTCTGCTTAATTCCTTGAAATCTGCAGAATGTAATGTGGTTCAGTACAGTAGTTTAATGTTTTTATGTGCAACCTTTCATCGCATGTCATGAGACCAATTTGTTTACATTTACAGTACAGTATGTGCAAATAATCCACAGATATTTTTGTATCATGTGAAAAGGTTTTTACCTGGGTTCACCTTCCTCCTCTGTCACCTCATCCTCATCTTCTTCACTGCCACTGTACTCATACTCTGGACCCTCTGATAGAGCAAGAAAGAAAATACAGAATTAATGCATTGGGTTATCAGTTATTTGGACAAAAAAGATAAATGACAGAACCAAAAAAATCCTAAATCTGCTTGCAACGATCAATGGAAATGCAAACCTAATTTACTGCCCTTTTGTAAAACCACCGAAGTGGCAGTTAGAGTTGCACTGATTAGTCCACTGAAGGAGCATTTATCAACCACTACTTCGACAATTGATTATAGTTCTTTTTTTTTTAAACAAATAATCTATTTTCTGGTTCCAGCTTCTCCAGCGTGGCGATTTTCAGCTGTTTTACACTGTAAACTGAATATCTGGGTTTGGACTGTTGGCCAGACAAACTGAGCAGCCAAAGGCACCGGGCTCTGTGAAACAGGTGTTCTTCCCTATTCCTGATGCTAGCAGGTTATCTACTGTACAAGCATGCATTCAGTGTCAGAATTTAGCTATGGTTATGGGTGGTCCTTGGAGTGAACACCGAAGCACCAGTGTGGGTTCTTCTCTGGCATACTGCACTGTGTCTCCAGCTTTCTGAACCAGCTACTGTTTCGTTTAAATTTCCTCCCTGCCTGCCGCCGTTTCATCATTGTCTGCTGCCAGTAGCAATTTTGTCATTATCAAAGCCACACGAAAGTATAGTGTGGGCAGACTTGGGCAACAAGAAAGTAAATGAGAGTCCTGTTTATGAAAGACATATGGGACAGAGTTGTTCAGAACAGCTTTAGATTTACTTCAGAACAGCAATGCTGAATCATCTCAATCCTGACCCAAAGCATACACAAAAAAAAGCTTCTCCTTTTCCACATACACTTCCTACCATGGGACCATGACCCATGCACATTAGTGTAGGCAGTCAGACAGCTGAAAACAATGTCTTGGTAAAACTGTTTTTAAATCTGACCCTGCAGATATTCCTCTTAGATTCATATTTATAGATTCTACAATTAATGTGTATGAAAAGAGTCTTTCATTTTCATTTTTGACTGTGGCCACTGCACAAACATCACCGTTCCAGGGGGGATATTGTCCACAGACCAGGAAGATGGGGCCCGGCCAACTCAGCATAACATTTGGCCAACATATGGTGTGAAAATAGCTTGGGCTTACCTGAAAATTGACTTGACATGTCATATGTTTGCATTAACATGCTAAAAGGTAACAGCATGAAGGTGTATTAGTTCAAACCAGAAAGAAAGAGGAAACCTGACAGAGGACATCTCTACTCTGTTGCTCTGATATCATGTTATAATGTTCTGGCTCCTGTTATGTCTTTCTGAGCCAAAGCTCCAGGGGAGAGTAGCTGTTCAGGGTTAGGTGCCTACTCTCACTGACCAAGAAGTAGGACTTTTTTTTTTCACTGAAGTGATTCATCTTCTAGCACATTGACAATCTTTGCCCATGCTACAGTCATGGGTATGCTGAAAATCATCATGTCCAGAGCAAAAGTCACTGTAGCAATGACTTTTTCCCACACACACTGAGACTAACAGCATTTCGTTGCTCTGCAGGGGCACAGAAATACACGCACACACGCACGCACACAATAATCTGGTCTTAAACTCATCTCATGCACACACAACACATGCAGCAAGTCTACCAGTCATTAGTGTGTTTTTATAAGCTAACAGAAGATTAGAACCAGATGGCCATTCCATTTCCTCCTCCTTTTCACTCCGCCTTTCTCTCTGTCTCTAGTCCCCCTACTCCATTTGTCGTTCAGTTTCCCAAATGAAGAACAACAAAAGTAGAGCAAATTCAAAAATGTATCTGTCCTCTTCTCCCTTCCCTTAACTCTTTTTCTCTCTGTCTGACTACATATTATTGCATCTCACTTTAAGCACATGCATCTTAGAACAGGATGTAGATACATTATACTCATACTCTGTCTTTCTGTCCAGATTTGATCTAGTTCTCTGTCTTCTTCCACTTTTCTCTCTGCCTTGTTCCTTCTGCATTAGCTGTATAAAACACCGTCCCATGTGAACACAGAAGAAAATAAGAGGAAAGGTCAACCGTGTGCAGCCTTTTGGCCTAACACAGCATTCTCCCTCTTTCTTGTTCGTTCTGTCTTGCTGTCTCCCTGTTGCTCTTCCTCATTTCTCCCTGTATTTGACTCAATGGAAAATACCTGGTACTGTTCAAATTCAAAAGCTTTAGTGGCACAGGAATGGAACCTGTTTTCTAGCCAGTACTGATGTATCAGCTATTATTATTACTATTATCATTATTATGATGATAACTACTGCATTTTTAGAGAAATAAATATACACACATATGAACATACATCTAAAGACCATCACAACCAAATCAAGGCTTCATTCTCTTGGTTCCATTTCACTGCAGTAATGGTGGACACACTTAAAGGTTAGCTTACTGTAGGCCGTGGCAAAATAAATGAAGACGCGGCAGAGTGTTCACGCAACAGAAGCTGTGAGAAGTTGTGTAATTTGTGGGCAACACTAGAAACCTAATCAAACATTTCCATGCACATCACGCTATAAATGAAATGAAATGCAGTGTATGTGACAGTCTGAGTAGAGCAGCTGCTGTACCATCAGTGCAACTGGTGCACGCTCAGCTAAAGTCTGTTCATAGTTCTGACTCCACTGTGACTGGGCTACAAGCCAGATGATAGAGTGAATTGGTGAAACACAAGGGAAAATCCATTCTGACTTATTCCTGTGAAGTGGCTTATTTGCAAAACTTCCTGAAATGTTATCAGTTACTCAATTTCCTTGACTGTCCCTGTCTGGGAATCACTGCTCACACAACTCAACAATTCAATGTGAGGCTGAGGGGGTGACTGAGTCTTGACTAAACCTAGGTGTTACATCAACCTTCTACTTCTTCCATGTTTCACAGAGTCTAACTGTTTGTGTGTACATACCTATAATTAAATCAGTGTTTATATTCAAAATAGTCAAAGCATGTGTTCATTTTAGTGTGCATCTGTTTGTACGTGTTAATGTGTTTTTAATCCGATCATTGCTAGGACACCCAATAACAGAAATGAAAAACATACCTTCCCTACATACAGCTACCATTTCACAACACCAACACATACTCTACATGGCATGATGTAGCCAGTATCATCAGCAAAGGTTCTCTATCAGGACACCAGTTAGCTGCAAAGGTCACTGTCACTGTAAGGGCCAGTTTTTAGACATGCTGTCCAGCCACGTCAGGAATCAAATGTGCTTACCGTATAGCCATTCCAAACTCACCCACAAGAAGGCAGAAAAGCTGGCAGTCATAGAGAGAGGAAACGGGTATAACGGCACATACATTCAGGCAGCCTCTCCATCCATAGCGTTACACAGGATCTTTCACAGGAGAAGTGCCACAAATAGTTGTGTAACTAATGAAAAGAGAGTTAGAGAGAGAAAGACCATGCCTGGCTCCTTTCTCACCTCCGCACAGCTGGATTGTTGGCTTTGGAAAGGTTGAGAAATAGTCAGACACCCCCTATCTGTTATTAGAAAAGTGTG